AATAAATATTCACCTAAAAGAATAAAGTTTATTGTAGTTTCTTTTTTTTTCCTCTCTCTTTCTGCAAACTTTACGTTTGTCTGATAAGCTTAAGCAAAAGCTTAGTCTACTGATATGCACAGAAGAAAAACACTACATACAACCCCCACTGCATAATACTTTTGAAGCTTCACAGTTATTTCAGCCAAAAACAGTTGATATCAGCCAAAAGACAGCTATCACTTTAGAATTGTAATACAGTTTTTGCTTTCTTTTTTTTGCTTCTTCTTTTGTTGGTTAACTGCAATCCAAAACTGTTGTGGAATCTATACAGCAGGTAAAGTAGTAAAAACTGCTTCGGTGGTGCTACCAACTTTAAGCGATATACTGTTTAAGTGATTTCAAACATTAAACTTTCTTTACACTTACTAAAAAGTAATATTTTAAAAAGCTGTTATAACTGTCATCAATTAGTTAGTTGCCCGCTTCATAATTTCAATATTTTTTCCTTTCTTTCCTTTTTTTTCACTTTGAGTTTAAGTTTTAATATATGTTAGATAACAATTATGTTCTTTTGAACACAAATCTAAACAATAATCGTTATCGACAGTATTTTAAACAATTACCAAAACAGAAGAAAAAAAGAATTGCTAAAAAAGCTTAATGAAACTTAACCGTAAAATGCTACAAAATTTTATATAATTTTTTTGCATGCAATTGAGTAAACTTTGCAGAGAAGAAAGAAGATTTTGATCTAAACATAACATTTTTTTTTTTTTTGGATAAATTTAAATGAACCTTAGCAATAAAAAGCAGCTTTTTTCTATACAGTTATCACGTTATGGGTGATATCATATTTATTTACCTGTTAAAAAGTTGTTGTTCAGCACCAATCAAATAAAATTTTCATAAATTACTGTTATTCAACACTTAACCTCTATCATCTTTCAAAGCTTTTCAAATTTGCAAGCCGCTATACAGCAGAAGTCTATAGCTCAGATAAGTTGTAGATTTTTATGATAAAACAATACAAAGTTTTTAGCAATCTAAATACCATAGTTTTTATAACATTTAATTCTGTTGTTATGTATCTGATTACCAGCTTAATGTTTTTGAAAAGAAAACCAAACATTTACGGTAAGATTTCATTTTCTTGTTTTGTAATAAATGATGAAAAGTAAATGTTCAACAATAAAGCTATGTAAAATTAGGTTATTTTTAAAACGCTAACAATTGATAACATAAATTTTTAGTCTCAGACAAATAAAAGAAAAAGAGCAAAAAGTTTACGGTGTAGAACTACTTTTGTTGTTGTTGTTGTTGTTGTTCTTTTTACCATAATGTATCTGAATACATTTCAAAAGTTTTATAGATGTACGAGAGAAGAAAGGAAAGAAAAAAGTTTATTCATTTGTTTATACCGCAAAACTTGTTTCGGATAACATTAAAAACCACGGCTATACTGTTTTTGGTGTCGTTTTTCTTTTATTGATATCAACCATACAAATACATATATACAGACATCATCAACAACAACTAATCATCACAGTCTTATCTGTAACGCTTTTCTGAAGGACTTGTCAACATACAAAAAAGCATTGCCGATTTTCTTTGTAAAAATTCTTTTTTCTTTTCATTTTTACCTTTTTTACTACACAAATTTTACAAAAGAAAACAAGAAAAGAAAAAGAAAGAAAAAAATTTTTTTTTTCTCATTTTTGAAACAAATGATTTGTTTATTTGAATACACAAATGTACAAAATGTATATACTTCTGTTTGTGTTATCACTGCACCAAAAAAAAAAAAAAAATGATGCGTTATTCAGATAAAACAAAAACTTATGATTAATGAAGATTCGGATTCATTTATTGCCGGTCGGCAGTACCGGCAGACAGCAGCAACAGTAATCACTGTTGTGGTGGCGGTGGTGGTATCAATGATGATGATGTTGACGACGACGACGACGACGATGACGACGACGACGGCGACGGCTGTGGTGGTAGTGGTGGTGGTGGTGGTGGTGGTGGTGTTGCTGCTGCTGCTGCTGCTGCTGACGACGACGACGATACTGTGAGATAATATACAATTGTCGTACAGAAGAGGCGATGATCACTGTGATCGGATACCGTAAAAGAATAAAGCAAAAAATGTTGGATTTGTTTTGCTGTCAACCCGAAAATGTTTTAGTTGATGCCGAAACAGAAAAAAAAAAAAA